CAGTAATGGGTACCTGACTTCGAGTTGGGGAAGTAAAGGCGGCGTGGAAAGGAACTGGCCACCCTACCACAATAAACCGTAGGCACAGGAAGTTGACTCACTAACAAGGCAATCCCCAATGTCCGGATCGGATAAGGGTTTTTTGTTTTGTTTTAGTAGAGGTTTTACGGCGCTCGCAATTGCATAAGGTCATATGAGCGACATCGGATGCGGGAACAACTTTGCTTTACTCCATGGCACAGCCTCGAAAACAGCAGCTGCTGGTCTTTCTACTCTTACAGCTCCACCTTCTTTGACAAACCTTGTGGATGTTCCTCCTACGGCGTCCACCGGAGATCTGAATGAGCGGACGTTCCACGTGACTCTGTGTGCCTCCTGTTTACTTGACAACTCAAACGGGGAGGTGGTGGAATTTGGCTTGTTGGTGTGTCAGGAAGCCTTCTGTGACAAAGGTGATTTTTAAAAAAAATTATATACGAATATTATATATTTTTATAAGACGTCATCAGATCCAAGGGTCTAGTTTAAAGCTTGTTTGCCGTGATGTTGTATTGATTTTTTTTTAGAAGGGGAAGTGGTGGGGGCCCGGCGGTATGAAAGCTTTTCCTGACGTCGTAATTTTTGCTTTAAGTGTTGTTGCTGCTGTTGTTGTTGTGGTTGTTGTTGTAGTTGTTTTCATCATCATCATCATCATCATCATCATCATCATCATCATCATCATCATCATCATTCTGGTGATGGGTAGACAAACTGGAAAATGTAGCTACGAGAACTTTTATTTCAATTATTTCTTCCAAATTCAGGGTACTCACAACTTTCTTTATAAACTGCTCAGAACCCATACTCCTAACGACGTCTTACAGCTTGTTTCGTCGAATTTTCATTTTAAAATTTGTTTTTATTTATTTATTTATTTAATTTTTGTCTCTCTGAAGCAGATACAATGTAATACATACTATGCAACTCTCACTAGATTCCTGTCTTTTTCTTTTCTCTGACTAATTTCACTGTGAAATATTGTACCCCCTCCACCCCATCCCACATTTACCCCACCCCCTCCCCTCCCGCCCACTTTTCCCACTCCACACACACCCTTTGGACGTTTCAGGAGTTCCCCAACTGGACAACTGGCATCATTTCGTGACCGGGGTCTCCACCTGGTCCCAGGCTAGAAGGTCAGGGTTCAGAACTGTCTACCGGGCCACGGACGAGGAATGGGAGGCCCAAGTGCGATCACTGGTCAAAGGTTTGTATATTATATCGGCATGTTTTCCTATCTTTTTTGTCTGTCCTACTAATTGCCGTCCGGAGCCTTATTTTTGTTTTTCATTTTGCCTTACAATGTTTTTGGGTAAGTTTTTGTTTGTTAACAAAACTGGTCTAAAATCGTAAAACTGGACAGAATTGACCTTTTGGTGAGGACAGCTGATTTCTTATGACCCGGAAGATGGACGAAGCAGACCAACAATCTCTGATCGTTTATTTTTCGTTTCGCAGTTTAGAAATTGTAGACCCAGCCTTTGTTTTTGTGTCCTCTCCCAACTTGCCACCCCCCCCCCCCTCCATTTCTCGCCCCATCCAAGTGTAAAAGGGGTAGATCTACCAACTAAAGACAGTAAGGGTTTTGTGAATGTAAGGTAGGTGGTTCGCACGTAACACGCACCTGTAAGAGATGACGGCCTCCGAACGGCTCCTGGCGGCAATTAGTAGGACTCCTTTTTCTGCATGTTTTCGTTTTGCTCTTTTATCTACTCTACCACACAATCAGGTGTCTAGTACTATTTCGGTGTTTAGAAACATAGGTCATCTTGTTGTTGTGTTTGTTTGTTTGTATGTTGTTATTATATTTGTTTCTGTGGTTGTTGTTTTGTGTGTGTGTGTGTGTGTGTGTGTGTGTGTGTGTGTGTGTGTGTGTGTGTGTGTGTGGTAGCCTATCCGTTCGAAATGTTTGGTGCCCACAAGAGCATGCTCTTCGCCAGGGCCACCGCCTCTCTTGGATAGCGGGTGAATCAGTTCAACCTCCCTGAATCCTCCCCCAAAGTAATTATTATGCCACCGCAGGACCTCCGTGGTGGGGCATCTCTGCAGCCAGTGCTCCAAATCTTGGGGCTCCACGCTGCACTATGCACAGATTGGGTCCGATGTTTTGTCTATTCTATTTTTGTAGACCCGCAGCCCATAGAAGTGACCGGTCTTGATTTTTGCCAGTAATTTGAGTCTTCCGTTTTAAGGAAATTGCCCTGTATATTTCTATATTTCTTTCGTCAGCGTGTGGGATTTCGGAAGGTCTTTGTGATCAGTTGTTGTTGTTTTGTTTTTGCTTTTGTTTGGATGCTGCTGCTTTTAATTCAACAGCCCCTGGGGGCTTTCAGCCTTCAGCTAATAAGAGGTGGAGATTGTTCCCAATACAGGCGGATTATGAGGTGTTGTCTTATAAGTTAGTTTTGCCCTTGTATTTTGTTTGGGTGGGGTTTTCCTTTTGTTTGCCTTAATGCTAGTTTGTTTTGTTTTTATTGTTTTCTTTTGCTTTGTTTAGTTGGTTTATTTTTGGAGGGGGCTGGGGTGGAAAGAGGGGG